TAAGCCTGTTTTCAAAACCACTTACTTGGTCTCCTTCTCCTATTACAGTTTTTGTCTTCTCAGTCTACTAAGTATGATCAAATTTCTGAAATTATAAACCAATGGCAAGAGAATTTTTCTTACATAAAATAATAGATACACAGTCAGGAGAATGTTGTGAAATCCTACTTTCTCTAACTGACAGAAAGGATTGATATATTCCTAGGAACAAAAATAGCTCCTTTCCTTAATTGTTGATAACACATACAGGGTCAGGGAACTGTGTACTCTGGCTGCTGTTACGACAGCTATTTTTAGTCTGGACACTGACTGCACTGGAACAGGCGAGAGACAACATCAATCTGCTCCACAAGGCAGAGTCCCCAAATTTCATAACTCTATACTTTTGGCAACATCATGAAGTTATTCCTTACTTTATAAATTAGGACATCAAATTCTTCACATTAAGAACATACCACAAAAACTTTCAAAAAGACATGACTTACAGGTACACAATTTTTCTACACCATGAGTTTCAATCATGCTTATATTCATCCAAAAATAAATAAGTAAAAAGTATAAGGTCTGCTACCTGCCCTCACATAACACATTTCAGTGGGGACAATCAAATAAATGAATATGTAACTCCAAAGTGTGATAAATGCTAACCAGGTAAATATGCTGGAATGATAGAATGAGGTGAGGGAAGGAAGTAATCTACAAGAATGAATGAAATCCTCTCTACAGAAGTGATGCTTACTGAGAGTGAAAGAAGTAGAACAGGGATCAGCCAAAGTCAACAAATACTAAGTGTCTTTATTTCCCAGTCTCTGTTCTAAGTGGAGGTTATATAACCCTAAGTCAAACAGATGGGATATCCCAACACTCAAAAAAGTTTACATGCAAGTGAGAGGATAATAATGTATATATTTTCAAAATATGGTTTAGATATTTAAAAATACTGTGAGACCATGATAAACCAGAAATGAATGTGGTATAAAAGTCTAGAAGGACTGAGCTATTTTATTTTTTTTTAATTTTATAATAGTTCATTTTTACATATTTGTGTGCATTTTTCCATCTCAGTTGCAATCCCCTTGGGCTTCCCATCACCAAATCACCCACGCATGCACCTTCACCATAGTCCAGTGCATTTTCCTCCCCCCACTGTTTCTGATCCCATTCCCCACTCCACCCCCACAAAATGTCTCTGGTGTACATCTGTTCATCATTATCATTATTTTCTCGCCTGTTCCATTATATTCCTGCTGTGAGAGAAACCATCCAGTAATTTTCCTTTTCTTTCTGGCTTATTTCACTAAGCATGATCTTTTCCAGTTCCATCCAGGTTGCTGCAAAAGACATGTGTTTCTTTTTTTTGGTTGCTGAATAATATTCCATTGTGTATATGTACCACATCTTTTGAATAGACTGGGCTATTTTTAACTAGTCATCATAAAAGGTCTCTCTAAGAGGATAAAACTGAATTGAGATGGATGAAAGCATTCCAAGCAAGAGAAATGGTTGACATAGAAAGGCCCTGAGATGGAAACAAGCTTGGCACACTTAAAGAAGAAAAACATGGTCACTGTGGTGAAACCAAGCTGGTGAAAGATGAACTGAGTCAGAGGGCAGCAGACAAGCCTGGAGTTTTTAAATTTTATTTCTGTTGAAAGGGAACGTTTTTGGAATGGATGGGATTTTAAAGTGTCCAGTCTAGCTATGGGGCTTCGGGGTGGGAGTAGAAAAAGCTGGGAGTGGTCTACAGGGACATGGACAAAGGTCCTAAATTGGAGAAGAATTTGCATGTTCATACAACTGAAATGAAATCAGTTGGGAGTGAATATTATATGCAGAAGATCAAAAAGGTGTGAAAGGGTCCAATGTAAATGTGATAAGGGATCTGAATTTCTATTTTAAATGTGATGGTAAGTCAAAAGGGTTACCAAAACAGGGACTGAAAAACAACAACCAACAATTGAACCCAGGCCCATGAAGCAGGGCCCCCTAAATTATTAAACCTAACCTTGCTAAAGGGCATAAAGTGCAATTTGCTTCTAGGCTCTCTGAGGCTGGCTCCAACCCAGGACCTCAATGCAAGTGCAGTCTGGGCAGAGGTCAGGCTATTCCCTTTTATATCAGGCTCCCGGATATTGAAGATGGGCTTGAGAATGGATTCATCTGATTGGTGCTTAACCAGCACCAATCAAACATCTGGGATTGGAGTTCCTACACCCCCCCTTGATTCCTAGTGTTCCATTATGAAGCTCACTGGTACAACTCCCCCTTTCCAGTGTTTAGTTATACAAATCTGGGGCTGTCAATGGACCAATCTAACTGGAGTTGTCACAGGTGCCCATCGCCTGAAAGGCCCAATCAGTTTCAAAAGGCAGGCACCCCAGAAATACATGTCAGGTTCTAACTAGCCTGAGAGAGAATCAGCAAGTTGAATAGGAAGTGGAGAGGCAGTCAGATTCATCAGGAAGACCTTTGTTGAACTGTGACACTGAACCCTGTCCTCTGCACCACACCTTCAGAGTCCTGACTGCTGGCTCCAACATCCTGCTGAATGATACCACTAGCCCTATGCTAGGATCTGGCTGTTGTTGGCTTTATGACTAGCATAGCTATATAGCTATAACACAGGTCCCTGCCTCCAACACGCCCAGCTCCAACCCCTGGTGCTATTACCTTTGGTGCTGCTGGCCCAGCCTTCGGAATGCTGTTGCTAATTGCTGTTGTGCCACTTTGCAAGACCTTCAACTTTTAAAACATTGCTTATGCTTCTGGTCCTAAATCTAACACTTTCCTCTGCCCCAACTTCTCTCTCTCTACCCCCTTTGTAAATAAAGGCTATTGTTGAACCCTGAGTCTGAGTGGTGTTCTGCAACTATAGTTGCAGGCACATGGGCGAGCACCCACTAATTCTGACATTTTGGCTCCCTAAGTCTTGCATGGTTACACCAAGACCAGACTATATTTGAAAAAAGTTCCTTTGGCTGTTGTGTGGAAAAAGTACTACTGTAAGCCTACTGTAATGATCCCAAAAGGTACAGGTGGCCTGAAGTGGGAGGGTAACTGGAGATAGCTGGCATAATACTAATCTCTTACAAGGTAATAATCACAGGGCTCTCCCTGGTGGTACAAGGGGTTAAAAGCACAGCACCATGAAGCTGTCCACAGCCAATGCAGATGAGTTTGCTCCCCAGTCAGGGGGTGACCCACATGGTGCAGATCTCTCCTATTGTGCTCACTGCTCCCCTCAGCAGTGTATTTCAGTCAATCTGCCTGTACCTCTGGCCTATACCCCAGCTCTTGTGTGCATAAATAAATCTTTAAATAAATAAAAAGGATGACCACAAATTTTAGCTAAGCATCTACTCCTAATCTTTACAGAAAAGTGGATATTTCAAATTAAAAGTACTTGTATATATGAAGCTTGGACTAACTCAAATTTTCCTTCTGAAGTATCTTATAAATCTGAGAGGTTCTACTAAAAAAAATCTAAAATTTACACAACTCTAAATTAGAAATGTCATCATTTCTGTGCTGTACTTGAGTTTTAAACAGATACAGAAGAAACCTTTTCTACATTTATCTTCAAGGTCACACTAGAGAACATTCTTGTTTCAAAATAGCATGTTTCTGAAGATGATCTTGTTAGAAAACAAGTGTTATTACTGTTTACTTCTAAAAGCATACAGCCTAAAATGATGAGGGATGTGGGGACAGGGAATATATAAAGCCACAGTCCAAGATACAAAAGAAGGGAAAGTTTGTGGAAGACAGATCATGACAGGAAGGGAAAAAGAAGGTTTTAGATCCCAGTTTTGGATTCCAAACAATCTGGTGCACTTCTATTCATTTATATACACACTCACATACACATGGTACAGCTGACCCTGGAAAACACAGGGGCTAGGAGCACCTAGCCTTGTGTAGTTGAAAACCTGTGTATAACTTGTGCATCTTCCAAAACCCAGTCTTCACCACTACAGTCGACCAACACACATTTTGTATGTTATATGTATCATGTATACTATATTCATAAAATCATGCAAATGTAGGAAAAATGAAATGTTAAAAAAATTTACAGTACTATGCATTACTAAATGATATCTTAAGTTTATATTCTATTTGTAAGAAAACCCATGTGGAAGTGGATCCACACAATTAAAACTTGTGCCATTCAACAGTCACTGTACCTGAATACGGAGTCACAGTAACAATGTAAAATGTTATCTCATTGTCAAAATGTTAGAAAATTATTGTGGACATAAGTTAGAGCTGAAAATAGTACCACGGAGTTTAGGAAAGACACAGACCACCGACCACCATGTGAATAAGGCATAGGGCTAAAACAGGGAGGGATCATGGTTAAAATTCAAAATAAATGATTAACATGCCTTCCTTTGAGATCAGCTTTAACTACAATAAAACTGAGAATGAGGCATAGTTCACTCGCTAAGTTATTTCCCAGCTAACATAGTTCTCGATAATTAAATGGACTGTTCAAAGATATTCATGTAGGAAATGCTTGAAAATATCTAAATATGTATTAATTTTAAAGATATTATAAAGGTTAATGTTAATCATATGTAAGGAATAAACAGTGGCTAAAAACATCCTACTTCTTTTAATTATTAGCTTACTTTATATAAGTAATACCTATCACCATTGGAAATTATCTTATTTAGGGCTCACTGTTCACTCCTACTTTGTCCTCATAACTCTTTACCTATGGTTCTGCATTTCATTTGCTGACTTTTTTACAGGTAAAGAAAAAGTAAATGATAGCAATGAGAAAGAGCAGAAAAATAAACTGATAACCCACACTTACAAAAGACAGTACAGACATGAAGAATGCTACTCTCAAACCTATATTCTAGAATGTATGAATTTACAGACCAAAATCTTTAGAAGGGGAATCTCACAAAATTTACAGGTGACAAGGAAGGATTTAACTGTCAAACCTTCAGGAACTGGGCATTGCACACAGTGAGTAAATTAACATCACTTACCATATCTGTAGTTTGATCTTCTTTCCTTGTAATTCAACTGTTTTGATCTTAAAGTCTATTCCTACAACACAGAAAAAAAAAAGACAAATTTAACTCTGGTTCTGAACTTGGCTATTAAAATCAATTGTAGCAAAACATATTTTTAATATCTGTAAGTCTGGCTCTGACTACTCACAAAACATGCAATTCAGAGAAAGTCAGTCCAATTTTATACTTGAGCAGATGAGAAGAAATAGATTTTCACATTTAGGAAATAAACATTTAAATATATAGTATTCTTGTTTTCCTTTTGACTTTGTTTTACTGCAGTTTTCTGTACCTGAAAAACCAACAAGGAGAAAAATCTACTTGCATAAGATTGCAAGGTTTTTCCTACACAAATAAAAATTCAGAAAAACGTGTACACTGACATTGTTCTAAATCGCTCAGTATCATTTTCAGCTCATTATCTTTTTTCTATTGTTTAAATCCACCCCCCCCCCATTATATTCCCTTCCTTGTTTCCCTCCCCATCTTCCCTCTTAACCTCTGTGTTTATTATTATTAATGTTCACTGGAGCTTTCGTATTTTATTAGTCTGCTATGTAAGTAAGCGTCTGGCATTTGTATGTCATTCTAACTACACATAATTCCCTCAAACTCCTCCATCTTGCTGAAAATTGTTTTATTTCATTTTTCCTTATAGCTGAAATATGTTCCACTGTGGGGAAATACCACACCCTCTGCTGATAGATTACCTTGACTACTTCCATGTCCTAGCTATTGTAAACAATGCTACAATAAATACTATAGAGCTGTTTTATTCTTCCCCTGATAGTTTCATGTTTTGGGATAGATGTCCAAGATTGCTGGATCCACTTTCAGGTTTTTGTTTTTTTTTAAAGATTATTTATTTATGCATACAAGAGCTGAGGTTTAGGCCAGAAGTGCAGCGGGATTCACCAGAGACAGTGGAGAGCAGAAAAGATCTCTGAAATACACTGCTGAGGGTAACAGCAGGTGGGTCAGCAGGTGGCCACACCATGAGGGCCACCTACGTGCCTGGGGATTGAACTTATGCTGCAGTGGCTGCAATAGTTTCATAGTATTGTGCTTTAATCTACTGCGCCACCACGGAGGGACACAGGTTTTTTTGTTTTGTTTTGTTTTTTGTTTTTTGTTTAAGATTTATTTATGTATACAGGTACAAATTGGGGTGTAGGCCAGAAGTGCATGGGGAATGAGAGGACTCACCAGAGACAGACTGCTGAGGGGAGAAGAGGGGAAGATAGGAGGGGTCTGCTGTGCCATGTGGGTCAGCTCCCTAGCTGGGGATCAGCTTCATAATGCTGAGATTTAACACCTTGCACTACCAGGGAGGCACCCATTTTCAACTTTTTTATTTTTTTTTTGGAAGTAAATCCAGATTGCTTAGAACATTTCACCTGTTTCCTACCCATGGTGTATTGTTGCATTAATGTTCCTTACCCCTCTTCCTTACTTTTCAGCTTTAACATTCCTCAAATAAACTATTTCTCCTGTTGTTTATTGTCTGTCTCTCTTTGCCAAAATCTAACTTCCATAAAGATAAAAATTTGTTATCTGTTAAATTCCTAGCATCTAGAGCAATGCCTAAAATATAGGCAGATATTCAGAAAATATTGTTGAACATACATTTTCTAGAGAAAGTAAGAGTCTGAAACAAGACACAGAAACTTCATTTATAAGGTAAAACTCATCACTTGACAAGCTCTAAATTTATCCACTTAATTTCTAATTAGCTTTTCAGGCCAAAACATGAAGGACTAAAATTTCAAAAAGATATCAAAACAGATAAACAAAAACAAGAAAGAGAATCTGGAAGAAATACTGGCAAAGCAGAAGAATTCTTTTTCTCTTTTGTAGGAAGAGAAGAGCAATGAGAACCAGAAAACTCCTGGGCCAGATGTTTTAAAATCTAAAGAAAAAAAAATTTATTTTAAAAGGCTGTATAAGAAAATAGAGGTGTCCCAGAAAATACAACTAAGCAAGAGAATATACAAAGAATAGTAAATCAGAAGATCAAACCAGGTAAGTCTGAATTCTAACAGAAGTTCAAGAAATAATAATATGCAGAAGAAAAAAAAAGTATATGCAGAGAAATTTAAAAAAAAAAACCAAAAACCCAAAGGAATCAGTTTTAGACTGAAAGACCAGTCAAGTCTCTAGAAAAAGAACAAAATTAAATCTATGCCAAGCAGTACCATCATGAAATTTCAGGACATGGTAATAGAGATAATATAAAAGATTGCACAAAAACAAACGAGGCCCAGTTAAACAATCAAGAATAACAACTCTTAACTAGACTTCTCACTAGCAACATTAAAATTCAAAATTCAAGAGTTTTAAAAGTGTTTTCAACCAGATGATTTCACTAGTGTGGAATATAAAAGACAAAGGAAAATTAATAGGCAATTATAAATCAGAGACATTCTGCAGGGGAGGGAGCTCAGAAGAGGAGAGGGAAGGGCGCAAGGGGCTGTGCCCTTCATGAAGCAAGGCTGAAATTGGTAGTGGGAATTTTATGAGGACTACATCTGAGAGGAGAAAGCAAATATTGTACAAAAATGAACACTGATGTGAAATATACATTGATTAATTTTAAAAAGACATAGGAAAGCAGCAGGCAAAAACCAAACCCCAGAAATCTAACGGCAAAACTGAGTTTACAAGATGGGGAGGATGGGCTCTGTGGACTACTGGCAGTGGATCTGATACAATCACTTTCATCTGTGTGAACCTATGTCCCCAAAACAGATACAGTGTCGTAAATCAATAAACTAAACCTAATTATACCACAAGACAGAATTTTTAGAAAAATCATTTTCAACCTGTATCCAGTCAAAATCAAATGAGTAAAATAAAGGCAATTCCAAAGATGAAAGACCTAAATATTTAGTCCCCAACAACTTTTGTTTTCCTTAATTTTTTTTATTGGTGGGTGGGGTGGGCAAGGAGCAGTTTATTTTCACAGCTAGCATAAGACAAAGTCCTTGGCATTAGTAGTAGCAGAGGCAATCCCCTTCCACCCCTCTCCTCGTGGTATGGCAGCTGCAGGCGGGTCAGTAGCCAGGGCAGCAGCCTCCTGTCATGGGAGATGGCTGGCCAACAGCAGCAGGTTAGAGGAGGGAGGGAAGCATTTGGTCAGCCTGGTGAAAGACTAGAATCTCCATGGACGATGCTTGGGGAAGACCTGGGAATTGTGAGAGGCCTGCACTTCGAGGTAGGTGCATCTAAAGTATCTTAGTCAGTCCTGAAGATATAGCTGGAAATGTCACACTGGAGCCAGTGGATGCTGGGTGGCAGATTGTCCTCAGGGAAGGTACTGCGGTCCTGCATGTACTTAGTGGTGGCCATGGGTGAAGTGCAACTCTGGGACCTCTTAGACAGCAACTGAAGGTCAGTGCTCTGGACAGGTCCAGCTTGCTGGCAAAGATGAGGTGGATCACTCCAGCCAGAGGTTCCTCCATCAGGGCTTAGGGCTGTCCTGTTGACAGTCCTGTATGTGTTGCCCATGAAGTAATTCTGCTGTGGAAGTACAGGGACATCTACAAATCCTAGATGCTCCGCTTGAATCCTCAATGTTCCAGGGTTTTGATAATCATTCAATGTTGAGGAGGTGGTGCCGATGGTTGTTTTTACCAGCACTGTACAGGCCAATCATGAGTGGTGGTGGCTCCTGCTCTTTCACTTCATTTTCTTCAGAATGGTCAGAAAAGCCCCAGGGCCCCAGTGGCCTCATCCTGGCCACTGCTTCTTTCTCTTACACTCTTTCTAAGACAGCTATGAAACAGAGATTACCAAGAATAGGAATAAATCCAGCAAAGAGAGTAATGCAAAGGGCAACTCAAACTGGATGAGAGAAAAATCAATTCAGAAAAGGAAGATGACAGAATATAATGAGAAGCTCCAAGAGAGCCTTCTAAGAGAGGGAGGGGAAGAAGCTATCAATAGAGCAGGAAAAGCAGAGTCCAGAGGATTTGGTAATTATGTTGCAGTTTGAGAAAAAGGAGGGGCAGTGCCTTGAAATATATACAAATATACCAATGAAGAAACTGTAAACTGCAGTAAAAACAAAAACTTGTGAAAGTTCAGAGTACACTACTTGGTTTACATTTAATAAAAATGTATTACAACTATTTGAGAGGATGATGGGAAATGCACCAGACTGGAATATTTAATTCTCATCTTCCATAACAATAAGAATTTCTAAAATTAGGGTTTTTTTTTGTTTGTGTGTTTAAGTTAAAAGCATATAACATGGCGTTGAATAATAAAAAGGTCAAAAGTGTTTGGGAAAGGTAACACACAGGTAAGTATGGGGGCAAGAATTTGTTACTGTTCCTGCTAGTGTCACAAGCCATGAACTTGACTTCTGAAATTCTGTATCTATAACATGAATAGAAGTACAAATCAGGTTGGGAGCTTCTCTGGAGGCTTGGGGGTTAAGTCTCAGTGCTATCACCATGATGGCCTGGATTTGATTCCTGGCCAGGGAGCTAATCCATATATGGCGCAGCAGACCTCTCCTGTCTCGACCACTGCTCCCCTTAGCCGCGTGTTTCAAAAAATTCACCTGTCCTGCTCCCCACTCCATCTCTGGTGAATCTTCTCACCCCTCGCACCTCTGGCCTATACCCCAGTTCTTCCACTAAGTAACTATTTAAAAAAAAAAAAATAGCAGTGGTCGAGACAGGAGAGGTCTGCTGCGCCATATATGGATTAGCTCCCTGGCCAGGAATCAAATCCACAAAATAGGTTAATTAGGTTAAAAGAGGAGAGCTTTATTTACAAATGTGTTCCTCTCCAGTACTTAAACACTTCACCTTGATCATCACATTTCCACCATGACCCCACACCTCCCCTGAAGTCTCATTCCCTCCAGTATTCCTCAGTGGTGCATTTTTCTCAGGTAATTACATCTGTCACTCTCGCACATACGTTCTGAACTGATGAACATACACACACCTAAGTATAGGGGGGGAGAAATGATTTAAAGCAGGAAAGCTGTTGATAAAAGTTTATGGCTAAGAATAAATAAAA